AACTCTATTAAGAATCCTTGATGACGATGCGAAAGTAAATCACAAGTGGTTTATAATTTTTTAGAAAAAGCTTACTCTCACTCTAAGTTAAGTGATCGGTGAAGTTATCTTTGGCTGAAAATTACGGAAATATATTTGAATATTCTGAACGACACAAGACCTACCTTTGCAACTTCTAGCTCTAGAATACTTAAGTAACAAAACACTCAAATAAACTTAGTTACATTAAATTAATTTTCAACAGAGCTACAACATAAAAAGCATTGATAAAGCCTCTACAACGAACTGACCCGCATTCGACAATATCTTTTCAGTTCCTCTTCTAGGATAACCATTGAATACTTTGCATACACGCGAGTATATTGGAAAATCAGGCGTGATTGGCTCTGAAGAAAAAAAAATTCCACTACTAAAACAAAGTCGAAACGAAAACCGTTAGATCGTATAGCAACGCAAGTGTACTCTGTTAGAAGATGAAGGAATTAGCCATCATTGAACATGATAAAATATAAATAAAAATTTTATTTTCTCTTTATTCGCTTTGCTCTCAAGTAGCTTAATCAAAAAAACTTCGACAAAATGGCTTACTTCATATTGATTATTTGATTTTGATCTTTTTTCATCAGTAATTAATTAGTCCATTAGTGTGAACATCCTGCTGAGTGAGTACTGAAATACAGTTTTCGTCATAACGTTAGTGCCAGTAAAATCCAATCAAATGTGACCTCTGAAATGAAAGAAATAAAGCTAACAAATGACCATAAATTTTCTGTTCATCCCTTTGCGACAAAAATTTTCGTAACTTCATGCACATAACATCAAGCTACTTTAGGAGAATTTTTAGGGAGGAAAATAGTTCCAGAAAGTTTTAACATATAAAGGGTTCAAGAGATGCAAATGAACAAAACTACCAATAACTCGAATTTTCCCACGCAAACGCCCATGTCTCTTTTTTACCTGATATTATTATTTATAGCAGTATCATTACTAACTACAGATGATGAATCCCTCTTATACAAGCAAGCAACACAAGTTAACAGTGTCATGTACAGGAATCTCAGCTTTCAGAAGTATACTAAACATATATTTTCATACGTAAATGGATGAAGAGATCAGAAAAAAGTTAATTTAGCCGAAAAATCATCCTATGAACGAGATAAAGTTGCAACTTAATCGCAAATATCCCCAATAGTTGGCATCCGTTTGTCACTTGCATGTTGTATGAGAAAAACATGTGACTAAATGTAAAGCACTTTTTGATGAACAAATAAGCAATGAAAATACAACAACAAATAGAAGTATAAAAATTAGTATTTAAACTGAAAAGGTCAAAAGAGATTACTTCATTGCTCGTTTTCAGGTCAAAGGATTGGTGTATCTGTGAAGAACAGCTTCTACCTTACTTCAATAAAGCATGTAGCTCGTGGAATTCAACATCTGAGTAGCTTCTTCTCGTCTTATGTAAATATGTGGTCGAATAAAATAATCGAAAAACAAGGAAACGGATGAAAATGGTCAAGAGTAGAGGGGAATGGGCAATGAAAATGAAACGATCGAGAGTAAGCGAAGGACGAGGAGAGATGAAAATGAAAATGATCGAGAGTGAGGGCTGAGATCGGTAGTGCTGAAAAATGGAAATGGTCAAGAATGCGGGTACAATAAAAAAAAGGGTCAGATGTTGAGAAAAAAACAATAAAGACAGTCGAGAGTGACA